GCCTATGCCTTTCATTGAATAATTATCTGAAGACTTCTGTATTTTTATCATAAGTCTATGTTCTGATGTCGATCTGGGATGGGATAAATCCCTCTCCAGTAGGACACTAATGTGGTTACGAGTCGATGGCTTTTTGAAAAATAGTTCAGAACCAACATCTTTCCTTAACGTGAATATAGGGAATGTCGACCACAAAATCCTTCAACGCTCAGTGAAAAATACCAGGATAATAAAAATTGCCGAGCGCAGCTTAAAGGTAGAAGAAGAGAGGGCACGTACATTTCTGAGCCTCCTTTCACAGTGAATTATTTTATTTACATGTAAATGAATAAAACATTATCCAAGGAGAATAAAAGGATAGTTGGAGTGCTTTCCAAATACCCAGGTTAAAACGGGGGAAAGCCTGGTATTGAACATATATAAGGAAATAAAATGATTCATTATGTCAGGCTACGGTCTTGCAAAATTTTGGGGAGGACAAAGCCCTCCTGGTCCTCTTGTTCGCACGCTTATCTAAAACTACGTGATTAGTGGGTGGTGCGGTTGCAAACAGCTGCCTCTCTGCGGGTACCATGTGTTCGACCACTGTGCGGTGGAGGCGGCCGCGTCTGTCGTGCTGGCGGTGGCGGCGGCGGCGGCGGCGGCGGCAAGCGGTGAGTCAGCGTCGGGGCACTGACTGCCCGCGGCCCAGCCCCGGCCACCGCCACCGCCACGGCGCGCTCTCAGGCGCAGCCGCCACAGCCACTGCGCCACACCGCGCTCAAGGCCGGGGGCCTCACTCAACGTGAGAAGGAGCAAGTTAACGCAGTAAACGTTGCACAATTATTTACATAACCGCGTCGTAACGAAATGCGGAAACAGAGCACTATGCTGCAAATTCTTTCGGCAAACGTTCGAAGCTACTCCGTCTATCCAAGGTATCGGTAGACGTTCCAGCAGGGGAAACCTGCACGTGTCTCAACGTAGTATTCATTCTAGACAGATTTTTTTTAACTTATAGTACGTCTCTAGTCATTCACACACTCCGAGATCAGTGTGTAGCACGAGAAGCAACTTCGCGAAATTCTCATATTAATTTCTCAGACAAAGCTTTTCTTCCTAACTCTTCATTTGTAGACATCATGTTGGGAGGGCAAGTAGACTTGCAGGAAAACACGGATTTTACAAATTTGTTTAATTTTAATTTTTCAAATATTTACCTTTCTCCTAATATTTTGAAATGGCTCGGTGGACCAAACAGTCCGCACGTGCGGAAAAAAATTTTGAACAGAAATACTTCATAAAGATACGAAGAGCGAGCGACGAAAACGAGAATAGCTATTTCTCAAGAGACGTTTAACGAAAGTGCCAATGCAAAACACTTCTGGAAAGTTGTATTATTATAAATAAAGCGACTTTTCAAGTGAATGTTACTTTGTTAATATTAACAGTTTTTAGTCTAATTGTATTATTAGATTTTTTACGCACTTTTTGAGATGTGACATTTTTCCTGTTCCCTGACGAGAGGCATATCATATTTTTTACAGTCAAGTCAAAGACAGAAAAACGTGTCTCGTTGGGATTGTCTGAATGGTGTCTTCTTTGGCGATTGCGTGGTCGGGCGGAGATGAAATATTATCACTAAGCTTGGGGGGCATTACGCGTTATCTGCCGCCGTTCAAAAGCACTCTTAATGAAGCATTTCATGCGAAAATGCCTTGGCAGATTTTTATGTTCTTTTTACTAATTGTCTGGGAATGAACCGCAGACAGCAGATAGTAGAGACTACATCGAAGTCAATAGTGTCGTAACATTTTCTCGATTGCCTGAACTACATAATTTGAGAAAAGAGAAAAAAATCCATTTAAAGTACCAGAATATAGTTTTAGTCACTGCTTGTTGCGATGACAGATTTGCGAAATCAACCTAACTACGTAGCAAAATGTATGAAAGGCAGATTACGGCCATTAAGGGTCAACATGGGAGTGCAAGTGAAGTACAATGCGAAACAGGACTCTAATATGGATTCTCAAGAAAATAAGAATTGAGATACACACTGGACTCGTTTTGAAGTAGTCAAAAAAGAGGAAAAAAGTGTTTAATCAGGAATATTCGAATTAACGAACTAACAATTTATAAAAAAGTTATAACAGAGGATGAAATATGAAAAGGCGGAAGTGACGAATTGGGAGAGGAGGGAATTTTGTTTGAAATAAGCCCTCCCCCTCCCGCGATCAACTGTCCCAGGCTTCTGCCAACGTTTTTCAAAGCCCAGTTTTACTCTGGGCGCCCCGGCGAAAATGCCGAACCCATTTGAAAAGAAGGCGAGAGGACGTGCGCCTAGCGTGCGCGGCCCTTGAACCCCGGTGGCCGGCGCATGCCGCAGCGATGAGGCCGCGCGCGCGGAAACGGCGCCGCGTCGCGGGGAGGGGCAGGAAGAGGAACAGCGCAGAGGCGGAGGCGGCGACGGCGACGGCGGCGGCGACGGCTGATGCAACGTCCGACGCCCAGCCGCCGCCTCCTCCATCGCACTCCATCAGCGCCGCTGTCCACCTCCTCTTCCTCCGCCGCCTGCTCCTCCAAGCGTCCCTTCCTGCCTACACGCGTCCGGTTAAGGCGTCCCACGCCCAAGGTCAGCGGCAGCGACGCGAAGCCGCGTAGGGCTGTAAGGAGACCTCCTCAATCGACGCTCTTGTAGGCGTCGTTGAGAGTTGGTACATTCAAATGCTTACATTCGTTCTGCCTGTTCTCCACTCTGGTGGTTCCCGAAATTATTTCTCGAGTATTATTGCTGGATTCATTCATTAATCTTTATTTTATTCTTACGCATTTTTTTCGACGTTTGTGTCAACAAATACGTGATGCAAATTGACTGTGATTCTTATCGTCGAAGTATGTTTTGAAGTTCTATTGTCCAGACCGTTGACTGGAAACTGGACTCCATCCTGTCTTGGAAGTTATTTGACGATTAAAACATCCCTTTGTTGCACTCGAAGTATTTGTGCACAATCTTTTAATTCAAGAGCATGAGAGTAGACCTGCTCCACAACAGCTGAATCGAATGACAAATGGAATAACGCCGAGATGGTTGTTATGGTGCTCGTGAATTGCGGGGCCTCGGCCAAGGGGCTCGCCTCCCCCTCTCCACTCGACCCCGCCCCTCCAAGCGTCGCCTCGCTCCTTCCCTTCCCCGGCTCGCCCCGGCCCCGCGACACCCCGCCATACGCCTTTCCGCTCCGCGCCCCTCCACGCTCCGCCCGCTGCATCTCACCGCCCTCCCTCACCACGGCCTCCCCCCTCGCTCTTCCCGTCACCGCTTGTCCCCGCTCTGCCCCGTTCCGCCCCGCTGCGGCCCGCGCCGCGTTTCCCCGCTCCCTCGCGCGGCGCTGGCCTGCAGCTCCTCTCCGCGACCCTACGCGAGGCGACGCGACGCGACGGCAGCTGCTGCCGCCGACGCCTCTGTGCGGGTAACGCCCCGCGCGTGCCCTGCGCTCCACAACGAGCTACTTACAACAGCCGCCGCGCCACGCCGGCCACGTCCGCGCCACGCCACGCCGCGCCACGCCGCGCCACGCCGCGCCACGCCGCGCCGGCTGCGTTGCCGCTTCGGGTGCACGTGCAGGGGGCACGTCGCACGCCTGGGAGGCGGCCGTCTCTTGGCACCACGTGCAGGAATTTCAGTCCATGGCCTTCTTCCACGCGTTCTGGAGATCAACTTGTTGCGTTCCTATTGTTATACTTAATATGGCATATGGTTTTTAATCGTCTAGAGTGATTGGCTACATTTAGCCATTACCGGACAGACCGCCGACATTCTCATGAAAACAAAATGAACAAAATCTACAAATTTTATATGATTTATTCAACTTTTTATGCCACTGAGGTGTTAATAATTCTTACGGGGACATACAATTTGAGACTACCGAAAGGATGAACTGTAAACATACCACGATAAGTACAGATATGTCTAATAATAAATATCAACCATCTTCACGGATAGCCACGTCAGTTAAGATGCATTGTGCACTTGAGGTTTTGCTTCTGTGATCTACCCTTCTGGAGCCTAATTTATATACATTGTGTAACCAGAGCAATTTTACATAAATCATTGCATCGGATTGCTTATGTCATTGACGTATGCAATAACATAACAAAAGGTCAAAAGTGAAAACGTCCGAAAGAGATGTGACTAACTATTCAGATGAGTTCAGCGCACAAAATAAAATGATAATTCTCTAGCCGCGCAGGCCTGAAGTGGATGCTGATGCAGTCACTACTTGTTCTTGATGAATACTTCAGGATATTAGACCTACCTACTGAAGAATATGGAGACGTGTCAAACATAATACAATGGGTACTTCATTGAAAGAAATTCACCTGTAATCACAATACTGAAAATATTAATTATAAACGGGATCCGTAACATTGTCAGTGTGGTATCCACGAAATAAATACTCGGAAACCTGCTGTAATGTGTAACGCCATCATGTATTGCACCTTTTTGATTTCTATGAGTTTCGTATCAGCGGTATAAACAGTACTTTCTTTCAAGATTATCTGTGCCGAATCAGTGTTTTACGCTTTTCTACTTCCGGTCATGTCTGCTCTTTAATGTTGATGTAATGTTGAGTGAAGATTTTAACAAGAAATGAGGCAGAGCTTTTTGGCGGATAGCCTAAAAATCTCTTCGTTTGTGTATAGTGGAACAGATATATAGAAAGAAGATAACATTTTCTAAAATACCCCTCTGGACGAAGCACTTTGGAATATTAAACACTAAAGATCTCACATGAAAAGTAGCCATTGGGAATGACATAATGAATGCCAGTAGAATTGATTATTGTTGTTTTAGTTGTTCGAGAGATGGTGCAATACATGTTCTTCCGAGTAATGAGTAGTTAAATTTCGTTTTGAATCATATTATTGTCCCAGAGTTCCTGGAGCACTTTACATGTTCACTAATACATGTTTATATTCTTAAGGACATAATTGTGTTACTGCACTAATTTTAAATTATTGTCATGTACAAAGAATTGGAATGGGTAAATGATAATACATCCAAAACAAAGCAATGAAACTTGTCTCACTTCAACTGAAACGAATATGAGGAAGAGTTATATTGATATATCTTCATTACTCAGTGTCTTGCACATTTCTAGTTCAAACATATTCTTTAAAACTCACATCATACTTTTCTCGGAATTGAAATCATTACATTCATATAACTGATGTCGCTCATGTGAGAGTTCTGCATTTGATCACAAATTCAATAGTACATTAGTTACAACCACGACTTAGAAGTACATACCGTACGCCTAGTGAGTGATCAAAAATAATTCACATGACCGAACAGTCGAGATCTTGGAATGTAGAATTCTACCTTCATGTTCAACCGACTGAAGTTGATTAATGTCGTCTATTTTTTCGTTGATTCATACATTACTGAAAAGTAGATTGTTCGTTGTTTACACCGATGTCCATTTTTGGACATCCAAAATTCAATTTGGTGGCTGGTCTTTCCATGATTGACATTTAATTTACCATACTTGATTTAATGATATTTTTAGAGTACGGTAAAACTGTCTTTCAGATGTTTTGACGTATTTCTTATCTTGTAGCGCAAGCCTTATTTTTTTTATTTTACCAGTGTCTACACCTTGCGGCAATAGCTGCAATGTATGAATAATTTGACCGGCAAGAGATAATAAAGGTAATATGTTGATAATGTTGATGAAAAACAAGTGCGGCATAATAGGAAAGGAACCGGGAAAATTTGATAAAACATACAACGAGCCCGCTTTGCCCCTACAAATTCCACTTGCATCGACCGCGATCTGTCATCTCGCCACGAGCCGCCGCCGTCCGAGCCGTGGACCGAAGCGCCTCTCGCCGCAGTTGGCCTGCATGCAACCCGCCCGGTCGCTCGAGTCGCCATCCGCCGCGGCATATTAAAGATGGAAATAGCCCCCACACCCCCTGCCCCCGCCAGAGGGTCCGCGCACGCACCTCGACGTGGCGCTGAGCGCCGTCAGAAGCCGCTTTGATGCGGGCGAATTCAGCCGAGATCGCTGCTGCGCCCCATGGCCTCGACCCTGGCGCACTCTGGCGTCGAAATGCGCCCGCACCCATCGAAATTTGAAAAAGAATTATTTATCAGACACATTAATTTATATCTTAAATGATTCTTCGCCTGATGGAATCATATATATGTTGTATGCTTCTTGAATTTAGATTAATGAAACAACTACTTTACTTTGCTGACATTTCGGCTCGTTTATTCGGCTCGTCGAGGTTTCTTGATATTCTTTTTCCCGAGAGTATGGAAGGAGATTATTTACAACAACGGACGACAATAAAACTACACGGCTCAGCTGTAAGGTTATGGACTAAACAAATTATACATTCTTATAATGTCCCTTGCTCCATGTGGCAATAGCTGACATCATGAACAATTCAGTTCCACTCCGTGACTGAAATTATGTAAGAGCTGTGAGCTGGCTTCTGTTTACATGTGCAAGCCAGTGCACAGCTCTTGCATAATTTTAGTCACAGTGTGTAGCACAAGTTCCACATCATGCAGAAATTAAGTTTTAAACCAAAGTTTGTCAATAACTTCATTTTATCTATATGTACGGTTAACTATAGGTTTGTTATAGACAAACGTTTTTTATTTCCATTGCATATTCTTTTAATAAACGTCTGTGGCTCGTTTAATAATTATAGACATGATACAGCTTCATTGCCGTATAGGTTGTCGCCCTCGCAGCAATGTGTGCAAACCAAGTACTGAGACATAATTAATCATTCGTCATCGTTCTCCTATTCACGACAAAAGTGTACTTACGCCATATGATTAATAAAAGCGTACTCGTGAGAGAACTCTCACATGTTAATCCCCACCCTTTCCGTATCCTTTCCATTAAGAGGTACATTGTTATAAAAACGGGTTTGTTTCAAAAAAATATTAATGTTTTACTTCTAATGTACTTACAGAATATCAAACTAAAATAAAAAACCAATGCAATTGATGTTGAAAACAAATTTTCAAAAAAGGTTTATTCAGTATTATTGAGAGATTTCTTGGAACAATTAACACTTTGTAAAAATATTTCAAGTAATTATACAATATTTTCTGACAGTTAACTTTTCGCTTTTCGTGATACTCATAATAATATTTAAAAAAAAGCATTTTATTCTTGATGACGTGACTGAACACGCTGACTTGAAAGTTTCACCAAATCACTGCTGATAACAAAAGTACTGATGCACGTAAAGCACAAACTAAACCTTTGAAGACACGTCTTCACTCTTCATAGTACACCCACATCCCTCCACAATTAGGTACACAGCACTAGACTTCGACAAAATGTTAAATTAATGTTTTCACTACACGCAAAAGACACAATCTTCATCGGTATCAAGCAACTATTAATAGTACTTCTATTTGTTTCTGCGAGAGCGAATCTTGAATTAATAATTATGCAAAGAAACTTCGTCAGACTGCGCAAACCATGTGTGCACAGAAAACGTAAATAGTTTAAAATAGAGGAATCTAAGTATTCTAAGTGTGACGTCACAAAGATAGCTATCATTACTAAGAAGTGAAATATAGGTGGCATTGGTAGTATCGATAAGTACCGAACCAAACATGGATGGCGAGATCCGGCGCCGACCTACCGTTTAGTGGGGTTTCTCTAAGCCAGGTATCTCCCACCAGCGGGGCACCGCCCCAGCCGGAACAAGCTCTAAGCTCTCGACCGGCCTCCCGGCATGTGTGCGTGTGTAGTGCGTATTAGTGCAAGTGTGTCTGTAAGGTGAGAAGACAGGACAAGCAAGAGGTAGGAAAGATCGCACGCGGTCCGTGGCCCGTATGGTAGGGTACTGCTCCGGCATTCGCCTGGCGTTGATCGGAGAAACCACGAAAAACTACCGATCAGCCGGCCGCTGGAATCCTGCTCCAGACAGCGACTGAATTCGACCTAGCTAACAAAAGTATGAGAAATGGTTAACTATATTAAACTTCAATTTGTTTTCATTAGCTTTAGAGAAAGTAATTAATGAAACTCGATTTAATGGGCGTTAATGCACTCGTTAAGTTTTGGCACTCGCTCGTTTCTAGGTCCAACAAACTTCTAACTCGTATACTTACGCTATTACAGACCATCGTAACGAATTTCACGCACATATAATGATACTCATCATTAATCATAGTTTCATGATGTAAACATTTCATATTGATCTGACGTTCGTAGCCAAATTTTAACGCTCTTTACAGAGACACATACTCAAGGCTGAAGTTCACAAATTATAATAGTAATATTAATAATAATAATAATAATAATAATAATAATAATTATTATTATTATTATTATTATTATTATTAAAGAAAAGAAAAGAAGCTAGCGAAGGTGTCGGATGCACTCGGGCGAGGCCTCTCTCCCCCTAACCTGCAAGATCGCAAATGCAGTATTAAACAATCATGTAAATAATAATAAATAGTGAATAATGATGTTACTTCAATATAAATAATATCGTATCTCTTATCTAGGGGAAAATTAGCGTATTTACTGACTTAAGATACTATGCAGTTGTAAATCAAAAGAAAGAACAGTCTATTTACTTGTACACAAGTTAAAACCGGGTGTTGCATTAATGTTGCATTACTTCCTAGTCCACTTTCTAAGCGTTCGGCGGGGAGTGTCTCCCGCCGGCAGTTTCCGTCCCTTGGTGCGTGGACCCGGGGCGGGGTGGGATCCACTAACCGACAAAGCAAGTGCCAAGTTTAGTTTAGCTACCTGAAAGTTAAAGACTTGCCTATCGATCGACGGTAGCCTGTATCTTTATAGTAAACTATTTTTGTAGCTAGTCTGTCCAAAATTTCGAATGCAAGCTTGTTCGTGGCGATGGAGCTGATCGATTCGCCGTCGCTAGAGATTAACGAGCCCAAAGACAACTGTAGCGCGAATCTTGGACGCCAGCAATCGCGCATCAAATGTAAAGCTGTTTCCTCATTGTCGTATGAAGTCGCATGAGTCTGCCAGGCCCAACTGGTGCAACTGCCCGTGGACCATTACTGTCAATGTTAGCTGTCGCGAAGGCGGGAAGAGTTTTCTTTTCTTGGCCGTTGAAACCTCTGGGAGGCAAGTGGCACCTTGTGGTTCCGCCCCCCATCGCCCCTGTCATTTGCAGAAGTGGTTTGTCATTAGTCTTTGTCTACCACTGTTTAGAGATGAAGTATATTCGCCAGAGTCCATTGTTTTAAGGCCCTTTCTGATCGCGTAAACGCCAGCAGCGCGAACAGCCAGGGGCAAATGCCTGAGAGTCTGAAGGTTGGCCGTTACAGCCGTCCTATATGCCTTTGTGAAACAAATCAGCGCGGTGGGCTGTTTCGTCTAGTTTTCGTCTGATGAATGCCGCGAGTTCACCCAGACATATGCACAATATAGTACTATCGGTAGGAATGCGCCTTTATAAACTACATGAATAAGTATGTCTGTATTTTAACTAAGCCTTCGTATTCGACAATTTGCTGGAGTTTTTGAAAGAGCGATGTTTGACATATTGGTTAGAAGATAGACCCGCGTCAACCTCACGCCCAAATAAACTTAAGACTTTTCGTGGGGAAAGATATCACCCAACATTTTTATCAGTGGGGATCTGCCCTTGCAGGGGTGAGACGCTCCCGTTACTGTATTTATGGGTGCTGTAATAACCACGCGGTCCGATTTTGCGGCCGCTGTTGTGAGTTTATTTTCCTTCCTGGACATCCTGGACAATCTCCTAATCCAGGACAATCGCCCATTCCTGGACAATCGCCCATTCCTTGACAATTGCCCATTCCTGGACAATCGCTCATTCCTGGACAATCTCCCAATCCAGGGCAATCGCCCATTCCTGGACAATCGCAAGGGCTACCGCAGCATGAGCCTCTATATCTGTTGGAATGTTAACCCGAGACGATCACCAGATCCGTATGGATGGTTATATGTTAATATTTGCCATTACGAAATATTTGACTATCTGTTCCGAAAACCATTTTGTA